AGGGTCCTTTCAGGGAAGGCATTTTTGGTATCCAGGAAGGGGGAGTATGCTCTCGAGCTTGGAGCTGGCCGAAAGCAGGGGTATGGCAAGTTTGCCCTTGGCCCCTAGGATCACTTTTTTTCCACCCCCATCCCCGCGCACAGCGCACGTCTCCGCGGCCACCGCAGGCTTACCGGACGGCTTGGCAACCCGACGCTCCCCCTCCCCGCCTCCTGCAGCTCTCGCCTGGAAGCCCGAAATCACAACAATAGTAATAGTTATCATCATAATGATGCGGGCTAGCAGCGTCATTAATAATGAATAACCGCGGTCGCCGCCTGGCGCGCACACGGTGCCCGGAATTGCGGGCGAAACACATTTGCACAGATCTTCCAAAGTAAAAGTATTAGCTTGTGCACACAGAATGCATTTCAGGACCCGCGCTCTGGGTGTGCGGGATGAAGCCAAGACTTGATCAGGTTATCCAGCTCAGTTTTCCAAACCTTACTTCCCTTTTCACCAACTGGCTGCTTCAGGGAACCGGGGGCCCCGGGCGGAAGGGGCGGGGAGGCGGCAGCCGAGTCCTCGGGCCACCCGCCTCCTCCAAGCTGGGACTGCGGGTAGCTGCTGCACGTGTTCGCTGTGCACGGCCTGAGCCTGCAGCCAGGAAGGAGGCTGCTCGCTTTGTGCCGGGGAGCCCCGGTGCCCAACTTCACTTTCTAAGCGGCCTACTCCCGCAGGGCCCCGGCTCTCGGCCCCCGGCCCCCGGCCTGTCGCCTTTGGCTTTGCTTTTGTTTCTTTGCTTTGCCTTCCTGATTTTTCAGCCTCCGTTTGCTTTATCGTGTAAGAAAATCCACTTGGAAAGCAAACTTGAAGACATAGCTCCCATTTCCCCCTCCCCCTCCCCCAGCAGCCCTGGTTTTCTTACCTTCTTTCTCCCAACATTTCTTACAAGGATTTTGACCCCTCTTTTAATGTTTACAGCGGGGTGGCGGGAGAGGAGAAGAGAGACATAAATACAAATATATACATATATCTCGATCTGCGGTAGCTGAGACAGTGAGATCGTCCAGTCCATCTTGCTAAAAGCAGAAGCATTTCATTTTGTCCCCCCCCCCCCTTGTAGATAGAATTCGCGGCTAATTATTGTGATTATTTGTCCACTCCTTTCCACTTCAATCGAGGACTCCCCGCTTTGTACCGAGTTAGGCCTGGGCTTAGAAAGGGTGGTATTGTAGGAGAGAATTAGGATGGAGTTGAATTGAAGGGAGGGGGTAAAATGGCTGAGGTTAGGAATGTTTTTAGGGAATGGGGAATTTGCATTAAAATACAGAGAAATTATCTGATGCCCAGAAAGGAAATGTTGGTTGCCACTGAGAGAGGATGTCAATGCAAATCAGTAGGCTGCAGCAAGAGAATAGTATTTTCATATTTTCTTTGTGCCCCATTTGGTCTGATTTTTTAAAATAATGCAGCAGCAATAATAAAAACACATTTTGATATTTCTCTGAACATAGCTAGCCAAATGTTTTTCAGGTAAACCGATGTTAAATGTATTTCATACATTAGGATATAATTCTTGTTAATTAGCAATAATTTATGTTAAGAGCATAGAAAATGTTGAGGTTACAGGTTTTATATCTGTACATTTGATCATCTTGTTATTTTCAAGAACTTTGCCTCCTATAAAATTAATTAGGTGAGATGTGGAGGTGTAATCAGCAACCTGTGAATTACCACTTCATTTCCTGGTTTTGATTGTAAATCAGTTCAGTCACTACGTTTAGAAGACTTTAACCAAGTCTGTTTTTTACCTTTAACTGTTAGATATCTAAGAGAATATCCCCTTTGCTCCTAATACTGTTCCTAGATTCTGAAATCCATCAGGCCCTGGGAATAAAAACAGCAGCAGCAGCAGCAACAACAACAAAACCCCAAATGAATCCCGAGGATAAGATTTGCAAAAATGTTTTACCTTTAATAGAACAAAATCTTCCCCTGAGCCTCTCAGTCTCTCAACCCCAGAACTTGTAGCTAAACAACAGCAAAAAGGAACACAATTGCCAACGTTCATTTAAAATACTTAATTCAAATAGCAGGGATCATGGATCAGGACTTCCCACTCCTCACTTGGTCAAAATGAAAGCGAATGCAGGAGAAAAATGACGTGAAGACACAATGGGAAGCACTTCCGTTTGCTTCCTTTATCTGAAATGCATACTTGTGCATTCTGTATTTGTCTTTTGATCAGGATGTTGGGCAAAGAAACATTTAAGTGCTTGCTTTGCTGTCTTCATTAGTAGGGAGATAACCTTCATATTCTTGTGGTGACCTTATGTTCAATTAGGAGGCGTACCAAAGGCGAGGAATTATGACATGTCCTACTTGAGCACAGGTGCGGCTTAGGCAGGACTCTTAATATTATTTCACCCAGCACATCTGGGAGTTACTCCAGATCTCCCCCTCAATATTCAGCCTGGGTAGGGTTGAAATAAATTTAACCTGAGTTCGCTGGATTTTTGCACTTTATCAAAATCTGTTCCAATATTCTACACTCAAATTAAAATCTATTTTTTGATTCTCTGTGGCTTTAAGTTCATTAAATGTGAAATTGGCAGCTTGCTAAAGAAGGTCAGACTGATTAACTGTTTAAGACTTGTACATTTTCTGCTTCACTTTATTAACTGGCGGCATCCTGGACATGTTTTGTATTTTTGTGATTTTTTTAAAAAAATTTTTAGTATTTTAAGATGGTGTAAACAACATTTCCAGCTCCTCTTTCTCTACTTGCAAGGTTAAAAAAATAATAGAAGCTGCTCAAATAGATGCTGGAGTGTAGAGTTTAAAAAAAAAAAAAGGCAGACGGGAAAGAAAGGCATGTCTGCCTTGTTATAATACTTGCTGGTGATCGTGTGTGCAGAAATGTTCTGTAATGAAGCCTTTGGAGCTCACTCAGAAAATGAGTCAACTTTGACTACATTAGGTGAAGCATCGCAACTCTGAGGAAAGGATGCCCAGCCCTCTCAAAGTGTGGAGCTTGGGAGTCCACTCTGATTTTATGTCATGGAAGCCACCGAGAACCAACATGTTTAGAATATTCTAGACAATCTTCTCAGTTATTTTCTTAACTACTCAGAAGTACCCATTTAGTGAGTGTGTTTGAGAAGTGCCAGGTAATTTGATATTCTTTTGATTTTTTTTTTTTTTTTTTTTTTTTTTTTTTTTTTTTTTTGTGGAGTAGCTGAGAATGAGGACAGATTTTGGCAGTGTAAGATTCCCTGCGTTGTGATGGTTAGTTAGGTGGATGTAGTCACTTCCTGATGACTTCGGTGTAAATGTGGTGCCTTCTCTGCTGTGAGGCCATGTATGTACAGTTAGTATACACATTCATATACAAAGGGCGTGTGTGCTTATTCACCTCTAATCCTGGACACAACAGACAACTTAATGTATGGCGGGGAAGCATGTTTGGTTCCAGTACATGTTTTTCCAGTATTATTTAAGTTTTCTTTATATTTCTTGTGTTAGCCATTAAAGTCACATTCTTTTCAAAAAATTAGTGCGTGCGTGTGTGTGTGTGTGTTTTCTCTGGAGTTATTCAAGTTGGGGGTATTTCCTTTAGGCCATGATGGCCACCCTCACTGATCAATTTCCTTGATTATTGATACCCTCCACATGGCACATTGCCTGTGTCCACTTTTTTTGGGTGTTATATGGAGAACGCTGTGGTGAAGTGGGGGATAGGATTAAAAATGTATGTCCTTCCTTTTCTCTCCACACTGGTTCGCTAATCATTGTGTTTTTGCTTTTTTCAACTACAGCCGAACCTCTTGAAGCCATTCTGACAGATGATGAACCAGATCACGGCCCATTGGGAGCTCCAGAAGGGGACCATGACCTCCTCACCTGTGGGCAGTGCCAGATGAACTTCCCATTGGGGGACATTCTTATTTTTATTGAGCACAAACGGAAACAATGCAATGGCAGCCTCTGCTTAGAAAAAGCTGTGGATAAGCCACCTTCCCCTTCTCCAATCGAGATGAAAAAGGCATCCAATCCTGTGGAGGTTGGCATCCAGGTCACGCCAGAGGATGACGATTGTTTATCAACGTCATCTAGAGGAATTTGCCCCAAACAGGAACACATAGCAGGTAAATGAGAAGCAAGGAGAAAAGCTGTTTGCATGTTTTCTTTTCATTTGCAGAGGTGTTGTAGGAAGCCAGGAAGGCATGGTAGAGTGCTGTCTGTATTTCTCCACGTGACTGTCCACGACAGCCTTGTGACGTTAAAACATCATTCCTGTTGCTTCCGTCCAGAACCCTGACAATAAATTTTTTTCTCCACCTTACCGAGTCAGATGTAGGTGGGAAAGTTACACACGTTTGACACCCTCTGCCTGGCTCTGACAGTACCAAATCTTTCTTCTTCCCTTTGCTTGCCTTCTCATTTTAAAGTGTTGAACCTTACTACACCCAGCTAAGTCTTCAGTGTCCACTTCTGGTGTTGGGAATGTATATATGAGGCAGTTGTAGTTGAGCCAATGACTTGTCTGAAGGGATGGAAAGAGTTAACTGAGTTCCAGGGCTAGCCTTGGATCCATACTGGCTGTCAGCCTGTTTGGGGCTGTAATTAAACACAGCCCGTGGTGGGATGACACGGTGACCTTGACTTTAAGATGCCATTTTCGACTGGCCAGGCCAGAGTAGAGAGGGCAGTTGCTGGAGCGCACAGACATGCTTACTCGAAAAGTTTAAGGGCATGTTGGAAATTTCAAAAGGTTGGTTTGACAGGAATGGCTGCTCCCTGCAGCCTGCCTCCTCAGCTCAGTGATAAATGCTTCTCAGAGCTCTCTCTTGTCTCTGATGTGGTTTTGACAGATGTATCTTGATTTTGTTTGTGGTTTACACAACCACATGTCACCCTTACAAATGTCCAGTACCGACTCCAATGTTTCTTCTCTAGCCTAATGTAAAAATTTCCTTGGAGAAAAAAAATGCATGCACATATTTAATAGCTCTCTCTCTCTCTCTCTTTCGGTTAATTTTACCAAGAAGGTAGCTAGGTGTGTGGGTTTCTCAGCTCCAGGGAAATGGAATTAAAAGCTAACAGAGGGACTTTAATTCCCTGCTCTAGTGGTAAACAGCAACACTAGGCAGTGGCTCTTAAAACACTGTTTGCTTTAGCACATCAGACAAAGCAAAAGCAGATTCTGTGGTGACAGGCCTGCCACATCTGGGAGACAGTCCCTTCTCTGCACTGCCTCCATCCTACAAAAGCAGGTTTGCTCATTTTTGGAAAGGCAATGTAGATAGTCACAGGGCTTATTGGAACATGTGTCTGAAATGGTTGGACCATAGAGTTGGGCTATCAGTGATGGGGGCGTTAAATAGCACCCCCTCCAGACTCCCCCTACCTGGCATGTGATCATGATCGTTAAGATCAAGTGGGGCGTTTTCTTTTCTTCTTTTTCTTTAGTGAAATAAGGACTCTGCTGCCGAGGAAAGCTGCTTATGTAGTGTGTTCTTCTAGAAGCTTCCACATTTAGCTTCTGAGACATGTAGGTTAAGATGTTTATCTCCCCCACCCCCCTGTAGGATATGGCAATGACCATTTCCATGTGCTGTCTTGTGACTGGAAGGAAAATGAGCAGAAGTGTAAGGCATGATTAATGAAGCAAGAGCAGGCGGAAGGGGATTTGTCGTCTTTGGAGATCCAAAGCCTTGCTAAATCACCAAATATGGAGTAAGGCTTCTGTGATGTAACATCGTATTTACATATCGAGCTGCTCGTTTAAAAGACAAAACACAGTGTCTGTCAGGAGAGAATTAAAACCACACTTCTCCTGAAGGCCTAAGCAGGTTTTCAGTTTCAGGTTAGCCAGTTTGAAAATCAGGGCCTCTGGATTTAGAAGACAGATCTGAAGGCTGAGGAAAGCCTTATAAATAGTTAGGCTTTTTACTTTTGCACTTGTGACTCGACATGGATGTGCATGAAAAGAAATAGTCTTTAACTTGCTGCTTGTCATAGTGATCCTGTGATATTTCAAAACCAGTGTGATAGGAGAGTCTAAAGAAGCCAAAAAGAAAAAAGGAAAAAAAGAAAAAGGTGCAAATTTGAAATACATTTTCTAGGGCAAATGGTTCATTGTTTCTCTGTAATGGAAAGCTATCTAAGGCGTCTCAGATACTCATTGAGTGTCCACATGCAATCCAGGTGAGGTAAACCTTTCATGCAGGAATAATTGCAACATCTTGATTCTTTTCATTGTGCTTAATCACCTGTTCTTACCCTGGTATTGGCTGAACATGAATAGCATGGTCACATCTCAAAGTAAGATGTCAGTAACTAGAGTCATGGCTTCTTTTGATTCACAGTAATGAATTAAGTGTTTCCTATAGTGAAATTCATGTTCCACCATTGCACATAAATTATGATACTCTGGACCTTGGGTGTCCCTGAATCGAAGTTCTGGGAAGATGACTGTGTCCTCCCAGCTGGTTTCTCTATAACAAGTGGTTCCCAACAGTAACCACTCAGTAGACATTTGAACTATGTGTCATAAAGAGAGAAGCAGTAGTCTCTGTTGGGGAAGAAATATACTGATGCATGTCTACAAGAATATGCTTGGCAACTACATGAAAGACAGTCATTTACGCATGCTGGGTAGGAAAGACTTTATGAAAGTGACATAAGTTAGATTGGGGTTCACTTTGTGCTCTGTGCCATTTTACAGGCAGGAAGAAGGAATGAAATCTTCCTAAGTAAAGCCTAGAATTTGGGGACTTTGAAACAGTATGGTAAGGTAGAATTTGGGCTATGGCCAGTCTCCCAAAGCTGACTGGGTTTTTTTTTTTTTGCAGAATGTTTTTACCTGATGACTAGATGGCTGTGCATTCTCATATACCATGCACGTGTGTTACCTATATCCATAGACAGTGAGCAAGCTGCCTTTCCAATTTTGTTTAGATATTCAGAGCCTTATATGATTATGATCCACAGAGACTATTGGAACAGTATTCATTTAACTGGCTATTAACAATATGCATATCAAAAACCTATCAACATATAGGAGCAGCCTTTTACCCATGGAGAAATATATACATGATATATATATATATATATATATATATATATATATATACATATATATATATTTAAGTCTTTATGATGAGTAAAATATTCATTGAAGATTAGTGAGTATAAAACTGTTTTTCTTTCACAGAAAGGGCCCCAAACATTATCTCACAGTGTCAGTCTTGAAGTTTTGGCTCTTGCACACAGGAATCTTTAAAATAAGATTAGACTATCATAAAGTTAGCTTGTAGACAGCATAAGAAAACAGTCTGCTAAGATGCAGGGCAGCCTGCTGCTCCTGATGGAGCATTGGTTTTCCCCTAACATCTAGAATGCAGGCATTTTCACTGGGGTGTTTGTCACTATCTGCCTAGACAGAACAACTGATCTGGCTAATGATATGCAAGACAGCCTGTAATGGGTAGGGAAATATTAAAAGCAACTGTATTAGCATTTTACTTACAGGTAAACCAAGTGCCACATTCACGCTTTCCAGAATTTGCAGAACAAACTTCCCCTTTCTCTTTGTACCCATTTTCATTCTTTCCTAGCCTAGACTGAATTAGAGGAAGTGTTTGTATATTAATTATAAATGAGACTATAAATGACAGTGTCTTATGACTGCTTATTTTTCATTTCTCTTTATTTGTATGATTCTGAATAAAAAAATACTGAACTCTGAAGTCAATTTTCAGTGTGGCAGCAAAAACCAGAAAGCACCACCCTTCAAAAACAAATGTGCTGGCAATCGTTTTATTTACCTCTGACTCTGTAGAGCAGAGAATGCTGTTTTGTAACAAATACCGAGAATTTTCATAGAGAGGCCGTGTTTGTGAGGCCACTACCCATGAACTGATGTTGATGGAACTGGGATACTGTATACAAGCTGTATTTGTAAATAAGACAGGAAAAGGTTGTGGACTGGCAGCTTGGATGTTTTGTCAAAGTACAATGTCAGAGAAACTCTAAGACACATTGTAAATAGAACTGTCACAGTGATTGCGTGATTGAGCTACAGAAGTGTCCTACAATGGTTGGCATTGTCAGAGGACTTTTGAAAGCTTAATTAAACACGGTGGCCCGAATGGTTGCTAAATTTTCTTTGGAGAGCCAAAAAAGAAAAACAAAATCTAAAATGTAGAAGACCCCAAAGATCTCAAAGTCCCTGTGATGTCACCCTCTGGGTGGTACAGAAAAGAGGCACCGTGCATCTTCCTAGGCGTCTTTCAGAAATAATAGTTTTGAGAATAGGTCCACGTGATATGGAGAGCATCCTGTGTGTGATGTGGAGATTGTGTTCGTTCTTCTGTCTCCTGCTGTTACAGACAGTTAATGTAAAAATGGCCTTTTATTGGAAACACAAATATGTATTCACTGCAAGAATAGGAACAGAGGGGGACAAAGTTTCCTTCCCATTCTCTGTGTTTATTCTGTGAACACTAAAACAAACAAACAAAAACCCCCAAGTGCTGTAATTTCTCAAATCAACCTGTCCTTGTTGGGGGCAGGTTGTGTGCACTCTGCTGTTGGAGGATCTGAACTATGTTTTGCACACCTTTCTCCCAGGGAATGTGGCATTTAACTGTGGGGCTGTCCATGGGCTGGAAAATATAGCTGGCTGTAGAAATGTCAGCTGGGTCAGGACAGGCACCTTCAGCTCTGAGAAGAGGCCAGTTGGATGCATATTAATGGCACATTTTAGAGTCCAGGAAAGTGATTAATTTCACACTGTAGCTTCTGTGTTTGGCCAATAAGGGAGAGCTAAATTGGGGTACATAACAAACATGGGATACAGATTTTAGATTTTCATGATGTCTCACTGGTGGTATTTAATAAAGGAAAAGAGGCAAATGTGGTTTTGCATGACTGTCGCTTACAAAGTTTGGCTTTCTTACGGGGAAAATACAAGATTGAAGGGAGAAGGAAGGCCCACGGAACATGTCACTGGGTGCTAGTCTGCCCTACCTTGGTCGGTCTGTTTGCATCCTTTATTACACAAAGCAATCATTTGACGGGCTTCACTTCAAGTCCCTGTCTATCTTTACATATAGTTGTTCTGACTTCATTCAGTAAAAAA